GTGTGTGTGTGTGTGTTTCTGTGCGTGAGTGTGTGTTTGTCTGTGTGTGTGTGTGTGTGTATGTGTATGTATGTGTGTGTGTGTGTGTGTGTGTGTATGTATGTGTGGTTGTGGTTGGATGTGCATATGTGTGTGTGTGTGTGGGGGGGGTGTTTGTGTATGTATGTATGCCTATTTATTTAATATGAGGTCGGGACTTCGGGTCCGTTGAGAGAATAGTCGATGAGTCGTAGACTCTGCCAATGGAGTATGTCAGAGTGGCAGAGGCATTCTTCCGTGACCATAGAGGCATAGACTCTGCCACTCACTCACAGCAAATGCACACTCTCTCTCTCGAGTTTAAATGGTAATAGCATATAGGCTCATACGGCATACGGTCATACCCTTCTGGCCTCAGCTCCCGGGCTCAGGGTATCCTCATTCCTCGGCCCTCACGGCTTACAGGCCCACACGGAATACTCTGATAGTGATGAATTGAAATTCACTCCACGGTCCAAAACACTTACGTGATAGGTCCACACTACAGTAATCCACACTGCTGTAATTCTGAGTCCTGAGCGCTGACTGCAGTGCGATTAGCCATATTTTGTTCTTTCTACTTTCTCAGAGTAGATGCCTACATAGCTAGACTCGACACTCTATACAGTCTACACTAGAGCTAAGTAGAGAGAGACTGGGAGAGACCAGGAGGGCAAGAGGGTCATGAAAATTATAGCTGCGAAATTATTGCTATTTTTAGCACAAATATGATCAGACGACACGGTCCACAGCCCACGGGCCAATCACTCTGATAACCATTGTCTTCCTGCCTTGTCCTATGAAATCCCCCAAAATTTGTACATGAAATACCTATTTGGGCTATGGCACGTATGAGTGATGACGACAGAGTGCAGACGGAGTAGAAATACAATTTGAGGGGCAGGAAAATAAATTGAAATTGTGTGAGGAAATTAAAAAATATGAACAGTCATACTGTATCACCTGGTCAGGCACCCGACAACGACGACACCCACCTGCCAGCATGTCGGCCGACATGTCGTACATGTCGTTTGGTTATATGTCGTCCCGACACATCGCCGACATGTCGGCACTGACATGTTGGTGTCGATACTCCCCATAAGAGTCTGGGTGCAGTAGGCCAGGTCAGTAGGACCACCAGTACTGTTCTCAATGTACTGATGACATTTTTTTTTTGACTTTATTATATTTATAACGGTCACTTTGGAGTACTTTCTTGCCCTGCTCCTAGCAGAAGTATGTTTGGGATGGGCGCATTGTGTAGGCGTTTGTTGTGTATTGTGTAATCTTGGACTGTTGTTTGTCGACGACGCACCAGCATGATTAAATACTTTTTACAGGTGCTAACACAATTCGTTTCAAACAAACAATAAACATGACAATTGATGTCCGTTTCACGAACCACATCACTCATAATATCATTATACCTATAGCTTCAAAGCTTAAGGTTTGAATATTTATGAAGAAGTATAAAAGCCGCGCAAAAAGCTGTTACTATACTACATATTTACATATTTAGTTTACATATCAAATTAACAACCACAGAATATGATAATTGTTTTTGTGCATGTATCAAAGTTGCACTTTGGCTTTCGGATTGTGTATTTACTATTTTTACTTTTGTTATTGTCAACTGGCAAATGTCCTGGATATTTGAATATTCATATTTGCAAATCCTTGAGGTGCATTTCTTTACTATTTTCAGGTGCAATTGATAAATTGTATTCACGAAACTCATTGGTGTAGAGATTCTACTAATTAGCTGAGAATTTATTTTGAATGAAAAACCATATGTCGGCAAAATTGGAACAGATGACACTGTACAACGACGACACCCCCCTGGCAGCATGTCGGCCGACACGTCGTACATGTCGTTTAGGTAAATGTCGGGTGTCGTTTACCAACCCAGTGTATGACAGAAGCCCAGTGATTCTGTACCTATTTATATTTATGTACAATTGTCCACCTCTTTTTAAAAAGGTGTCTATCTCTTTATATGTTCAATTCTTATTTGGGCCGACCCATATGTGAGTCGACCCTTTTGGGGCCGGTCCATCAGCCAGCCCCTCTGCCATGAGGACTCTCAACGCTCAGTGAGATTCCAAATAGAGACTCAGACTCTGCAGTCTGCACTTCTCTTATAGTCATAACATTTTTAGCTTAGCTGTTGGTATTATCTAAGTACATAAACTACTATTTAAATATCAATTTCTGATGCAAGACACTTATCTAGTGGTGATCGTTGTTGTGTGAAAAAAAAGCACAATCACACAACCAACGTTAGGTGCACATAAGTGTGCTAATTGCGACCGCAACATGTATACAAAATGTGGCGTGCACATTTACGAAAGGTATGGCTCAATCGGTTACTGCTTGTGTTCTAAAGATAAATCCTAAGCACCAGATTATCGTGGTGATTCTTTGTTCTACCTGAACCTGGTAGGGTGAACCTGACCCAGAAGTGTCTACCTCTTTATATGAACTGGACATATATAGAGGTATGACTGTATCCATATAAAAAAATTGTGTCCTATTTTCAGAAGGCTATGGATACGACGATATGTACGTATTTATTTATTACTAAATATTTACAAATTAAAGAGGATACAATCGTACATTTTGTTTTAAAAAAAAATACGAATAAAATTCCGATGACTAAAAGAAAAGAAATTCCTCTAAATACATATCTGGGGCACGGTCATGTCAAGACATAGATGCACTCAAATTCAACTTGGGTCTATAATAGGAATAGATTACAATGCTAATTTAATTTTGCTACCTGTATTTGCATTGATATATGGCTCTGATAGGGCTGATAGAACACATTGGTCTTTCGGACCATCGCAATGGATTCGGGGCAAAATAAATAAATATATGTAAAATGACAACTGCGTGCAAAGTGATTCAAAGTATACACTACACCACAATTTGGGATTAAAATACATTTGGAGATAGTGCAATACAGGGAAAATATTTAACTTGGCTATTACGCAGTACCTGCTTCTTGCTAAAACTGCGCTTCCAATTTCTTCATACTTGCTGCTCGCTGCCAGAATTATTCGTATTGGCTGGCTCCTATCATAAAATATACTAAGAACGATATGGTGCTCTCTGCAGGCATGGCTAGTATTCGTCGCGTTTTGGGTAGAGGTAAGGTCGTGGCAGACTTAGATCAACTTAGTCCTATTTCGCCCATGCAGTGTAAGAAAGATTCCGTAGTGACTATCGAGAGAATAGACAAGGTTAAAAACAAGCGCACCGATGAGGCCAGTTCGAAGTTGAAACAATTCCTCCATCAAATTTCACTCGAACAGAACTCCTCGTCAGGGCTGTCGACAAAGAAACGGAAGAACGTATCACCAAATCGAAGCAAAAGTATGTATGCCCGACAAAATATGGAGACCGGTGATGTTGCTGGCCTGTCTCGGGAACAGTCACTTACCCCTGAATCTAAATCTCAGGTTTTAACAGACGTCAACAAGCGACCGAGGAGAAATATTCGAAGTATACAGCGTAGCAAAAGTATGTGTGAAAGGTCGTCGTCGTCAGCTATAGCCAGGTTGTCTACCAAAAACAATAAACCTGGGAGTGAGGCCGTCGAAGTGGGCCCAGAATCCCTTTCAGAACGAATCTCCTCCAAATCAATTAAAGTGATCGCAGGTAACTGTAATGACAAGACTGTAGTACAAGCAAATAGCTCTGTCTCTCCTCCGGAAAGCAGTACATATTCAAGCACAACAGGGACGCCTCGAAGCCGCAAAAGCCCGATCTACTTACTGAAGGGCCGCAAGAGCCGCGGAAGCAGTCGCTACGCCCAAAGGGGTGAGCAAGTATACATTGTGCCCTTGTCAGGTTTTGACCAGGGCGTGGACAACCATCACGGAGATGATGTAGCGTTTTCCGGGAAGAACGTCACCTCCCTCGGTAATGCTACCATATCTAATCTGAAGACGCTTAGACGACGGAGCGAAAGCCTTACCGATCCCTGGGAAAAAGTAAACCAAAGTTCTATGGAGCGTAGAAGAACGAATTCGTTGCCAGAAAGTCACGGAGTGAAAAAATCGACGGAAGTCATGCGCCAATGCAAAAAGAAAATGCACACTCCTGACTATAACAACGGAGATACAAACCAAGAAGTTGCGCTGCACTCGATGCGATGCCCAACTGATGCGCTGGTATTCTCAAGGACCATAAAATCGCCTCCAGTTCGGCGACGAGCGGACAGGAAAACGACATTGTCTGTGGGTTCGTATGATTTAGCTTCACAGTACAGTGATGAATACAAGACGGCAGTTAACAAGAAAAGAGTACGCATATGTCCATTCACCGCTACAGTACAGACATACGGCGTGCAAATTTACGATAGGACGGTGCCTGTTGACCGGGAAAGTCTGTGGGGGCGGATGGATATATACACCGAGTTAATGGATTACAAAATCAACGGCATGGACGTACATCCATCCTCGAGAGATAACATGAACTTCCACCTCAATTCTGTATCTGGAAGGCAGAAGACCATACTCATCAATTTACTAGCGGGCTTGCGATAGCATCAAACAGCGTTATTTATATTCATGAGATGACAACTTTGAGCGCACCACTGTGTGAGGGTAAGTGTATACTAAAATCTGTACAACTCAACTTATTCAAGGCACGAAATTTTAAAGGAATCTGTTTGATACGGATTACGAGATTTCTTTTGCCGGACCAATCTACAACTCGCATGTGCTAGTGGCACTATCCTGCACGATGCAGAAGTCGCGTGATAGAATATATCAACACTTACAAGGTTCTCTGGCGTTTACCACCTTCACTTTACGATACGTTAACATGTATGATCCGGAATGTATGCTTTTAATACTTTAAATAGGTTGTCATGTGCAAACAGAGAAGTATTGGACGATACTCACTGATTGTGAAGTTTGAAATTTACTGTTTTGAAATTATCAGCCCGCCGCGATCCTAAATAGGTATCCCTCGAAGGGAATAAATTCGTCTAAATCTACTAGATTGTTGTAATATACTTGGGAGTAGATCATCTTCGCCTTATCATATCTGCACCTTTTCTCCTATCTAATAAATATGTTCATTATCATTTATTTACTAGAAGAACTTCCCTTTTTAGTTTTGGATCTCAACCCCCAGAATATATGACCTGATTAGCGACATATGCGACGATTACATAACCTTGCCCGTATAGAAACTAAATTTACAACCAAATTTTAATCCAATACATATTGAACGAGAGTGCCGCTGCAAGCTCTATCGTCCATTAAGTTCCTGATCGAGCAGCTCTTCCTCGTCATCACTACTCAGCCTAGTCACAGACGCGGGTGGGTTGGTCCTTACGGTCGGGTCTTGATCATGATGATAATGACTGAAAGCTGCGGGTGACGTCGACTCCATCTCATGTTCCAACTCCGCGTCCAGATCAATAAACCGGAACGCACGCTCTCTCTGCCTGCGCAGATGTACACTCCTGCGGATAGCATACGCCAGTGACAATAGCAACAAGCACACCACCACCGCAGCGATTATATTGTAGATTAGCTCTGTATTGTCATCGGTACTCCCTTCAGTTTCAGCCGTGTGTTGTGCTGTGTTGTCATCGGCAGCGGAGTATGCTGTCGCCTCCACCTCCACCGTTTCCGGGGAGTACATATCGGGCACACATTTTTCATTGGGATGCAAAACATACGCCAAATTTTCACTGTGTGGATCAAACAGAGGCAACGCGTTAGACCTCGGCGTCGTGTGCAGAAACTGTGTGCCATGTGGCCACAGGTATAGTAGTTGACATGTTTGTGAGGGGTAAGTAATTGCGTATCTGTGACACGAGATCAAGTGCAGCACTGTGTGCCATGTGGCCACAGGTATAGTAGTTGACATGTTTGTGAGAGGTTGGTAAGTGCGTATCTGCGACACGAGATCAAGTGCAGCACTGTGTGCCATGTGGCCACAGGTATGGTAGTTGACATGGTTGTGAGGAGTAGGTAAGTGAATATCTGTGACACGCGATCAGGCGTACATATAAGAAAGAAACTGGAGCAAGAGACTATAAGTCTACTTAAACTATACTATACTGCTCTCCCTCGATGGTTATGCGCGTTAGTGAACCAAACCTTGAAACTTTCCTGTGGTAACCGTGCCCAATCCGAAAGGTTTTCCTCTTCATAGACAGTGCATCGTTGACGCACAACCCCAAGGCCGACAAGCTTATTCCAACTAAACAAGCCGCGCTCCAGTACCGAACTTTCGAATCTAGCGCAGGCTACTTGTACCATACGCATTCGATACCAAACGGAAACGGATGAAACGTTCCAGGCGAGTCATGGATAGCGCAATACCTTCAATGTACGTATTTCCACTCGCCTCCCACTATGTACACTATACGATACAATTGCATATACGGGCGTATGATTTGTTCCTTTTCGGTAGAATACGGAATACTGGCGTTGAACAGGACAAACGAATCCGAAGCAGTGGGCATTCGCACATAGACTCGAAGCGTGACAGTTTTACGGATGAACGATGTACGTGTTAAACCGTCATACCAGCTCCTATATGGACACTCACAGGATACCCCACTGCCTTAAAACGTGAAAACTCATGTAACCAAACTACTATAGCACAACACTACGCATCAAAGCAGCCTAGGTAGCCAGACTTGCCCCTACGCACACACGGGTGAGACATACTTGCATCCCCGCTTATGCATCTCACGTCGACGTTCGCGGCATAACACCAACACACTACCTTCAAACCTGCACACTGCGGCCACCAAACGACAATGGAACTGTAATACGAATCAAACTAGCCTGGTTAACCAGACGTGACACATACGCCTGTATAGGCAGGACATACTTGCATCCCCGCTCATGCATCTCGCAGTCGGAGTTAAACAACACCGATTTCCCCTGCCCATTGACACCACACAACAGCGCATTGTTGGCGATGTTGTGTGGGCAGGCCAATGCCAAGGTGGAGCACATGCCACCCTCAAAGTCTTCTGCTTCGCATTCCCCGTCGTGTGCAATATCCAATGAAACCTAATGAGATAATGGATTGTGGTTGCATGCCATATCTGTGAGTGTGTGTAGGTCTACCGTGCATCAGGTATGAGGTGAAAGCGTACTGACTGCAGATGGTGGTGTGATCTTGAAGTATGAGGAAATTGTTGAGACGGAAGGAAAGAAGTTGTACTTAGTATATGATGGCCTAGTTCCCACAGAGAATGTCTGTTCATATACAGGTCTTATGTATCTCCGCCAATAGTTGCACTGCAAAGTTCGTTCCAATCCAGTCAAACTCTCTTCGACCACAAAATCAGTAACAACAACACATACATACACACACACAAA